CTGCTCCTGAGCAGGTTTGAGCTGCCAGAACTGTTGCTATGACAACAACTCCCTGATGAGCGTTGAAGGACGAAACGATCCTGGATTGTCTCAAATCGTCAATAACCAAATCCAGCTAACTGAGTAATCCGCGTACGAAGAACGGACCCTAGGTCTGTCTGAGGTATTGGGCGTGGCTAACATACTTAACCACGCCCATCCAGCTGTTAATTTGACAACAAACAGAATTAATGTAGAGGAGGAGTCTGTTAGCTTGTAATAACTCCCTAAACTCTTTTCCTCATCTGAATGAAATGCCTACTTTACAACATCCAATCAGCTCGCAGTACAACAAACAAGCCACACCCACTGTTTATTTATTTAATATTTAGTTTCTTAAGGAACTGGGTCACAATATGGAAAAAAAAACACAGGTCGCAGCTTGGTTCATGCAGACTTTAATAGTGGATCAGATTACTACTAAAGGTGGTAATTTTCATATTATTTTTGTTGTAAAATCCAAAAAATTTGTCACACACACAGTTTGCAAAGTTTACTTCAGAAAGTTCATAAAGATTATTGAGTTCGATACTTTGCTAGCGATACTGGAACCACATATTAAAAAGACGACTCCATTTCCACGAACCACTTGATCCTGAATATTCATTCATTCATTGTCCTTCGGCTTAATCTCTTTATTCATCAGTAGTCCCCACAGTGGAATGAACCGCCAACTATTCCAGCATTTTTATTTTTATTTTTTACATAGTGGATTCCCTTCCAGTCGCAACCCAACACTGGGAAATAATGAGACAATCTATCTTAGATGAGACTGGTCAGATTGACCTCTATGGTATGTATTGTAGTAATAGAATTCTGATGGGGCGACACGGTGGCTCAGTGGTTTGCAAGGGCATCCGCTGCGTGAAACATATGCTTGGAGATTCTTTCTGCTGTGGCGACCCCTGATGAATAAATGACTGAGCCAAAATAAAATAAATGAATGAATGAATTTACCAATGGTAAACTCTCAGTTCCAAAATCCCCTTACAGACAGGAAGAGTTTAAATGGAGAGACCTTCAAAGCCCTGTTGGGATGAAACGCATATATGAATCATTTATGGGGAGGATTATAGCTTCAAAGGTTAACAGGGAACTAATCATGTGTCTTTGAAGGCATTCAGTTTTGTTTTTCTCAGGATCTCAAATAAATGTTATCCACCCGCAGGACACTCTCGGCGGAGGGTTTGACGCCACTCAAGCGTTCGTCGGCGACATGGCCAACTTCAACATCTGGGACCGAAAGCTGTCGGTGGGCGAAATTTACAACCTGGCCACGTGCAGCAGCAAAGCGCAAGTGGGCAACGTGTTCTCCTGGTTGGAAACCAGCATCGAGATCTACGGAGGAGCTTCCAAGTGGACATTTGAAGCCTGTCGCCAACTGAACTAAACAAACAAAACAAAACAAAAAATATACGAGCACAGAAATCTCCCAGCCGATGAGAGATACGAGTTACCAGGTGTCTGTTACCAAATCATCCATCTTTAAAAGAAACATTCGCAATCAAGAACCGACATGGAATTTTCTAGATGTTTAATATTCCTCGTCTCTTAACACTTCTCTTGAAAAACAATCACGTTTCGTTGTCGTTTATTTGAAGGAGGAAATAATGAAAGGTTTAAGCGTGATGGCACTGTGGTTTTTTTTTTGTTCGCTCTTCTCTGGTCGTTCGTTGGGGGCAAGCAATGCCTTACCGGAAAACTACTTAAACACGATTATGACGTCCGTCTTTACAACTTGGATCATTCGTAAATAACAGGAAGCCATGTAGTCTTTGCGAGTAGTTTTCTTCGAACCACTTAGCGTTACCGTCTCCGTCAGGATTATTAGCTAGATCTAACCCACTGCCTGGGATACTCACTGTGAACTTTTCGGATGTAGAATGTAAAACGAGCAAAGATGAGTGTGTTTCGTTTTTTACTTTGATTTCTTTCCTCATGCTTTTGTTGTGTATGATCACTTTCTGCTTCGAGCTTTTTTTTGTTTGTTCTATTTTTGGTTGTGCGTGTGTGTGTGTGTGTATGTGTGTGTGTGTGGGTTTGTTAAAAATTGCCAACATATTTCAAGCCTGGGTGCCTTGGGCTGTTGAAAAAAAGATCACATTTGTCATTATTTGCAGTGTACTTCTATTTATCTGTTGTTTTTCTTCGATTTTTTTTTTCCTTGTGTAACTACTGATTACACCTCGTAATGATTCAAATGTGGACAGGCTGGCGAATCCAAGTCGTTTAAATCGTGGTGTGTTTTTGGCAGGTGTTTGTACTTTTCAAGGAATGTTACGTGTACAGAAAAAACAGCATGAACATCGAAATGCTGCAACAGCATCAATGGAAAACTGCTTTTATTAGCTCTTTTTGGGTTGAGATTTTATACTGTATTGTTATATGCTAAAAGCATGGCAGCACTGAAAGATGATAAAGGTCTAAATTTTGTAATAAAATTGTTATACCAAAAACAAAACAAAAACAGCTAGCATGCCTCCATTTGCAACGAGCACACTTGTCATGTTATAATGAGGACGGATGATCATGCGTTGGAAAGTATGGGATCGGTACGATTTTTATAAAAGAGATACTTTTATTGATCAGAAGTGATGGTAAAGACATTTATAATGTTGCATAACTACATATTTCCAAATAAATGCATTTATTTTCAACTTTCTACTCACATAATTGTGTAAAAAAATCAGTCCACAGAAAGCATTGGGGATGTTTTCATCCACTCTTGGGTTTTAATTTGGCCAGAAATGTATCTGTGTTTCAGCAAATGGAATGATTTTTGGTGGCAAATCTGGTAACACTTTATTTTGATGGTCCATTTGAGTATTAGTAGACTGTCTGCTTAATATTCTGCTCCTTCAACATTTAACTATAAGAAACTTCAGACATTTAACTGACTATAAGAAACTTTGCAAGCACATGTTAACTTACTCTAACCCTAATAGTGATGGGAAGTTCAGATCATTTTACTGACTCGGATCTTTGAGTCTCGTTCATCGAGATGAACGAATCTTTTTTCGAGTTATTTCGTTCATTTGGTTCAATTTGCCAAAATATTATTAAAATCTTACGAATTGCTTCCAAACACATCTACAACTAGCCCAAAAGGTTGACTGCACGCCAAATAAGTCATAACTAGAATACTATAAGAAGGAGAAAATAAATAATGTGAATGGCTGATTAGGCATTTGCGTTAACAAGCAGTTGGACAGGTGTACCTAATAAAGTGGCCGGTTAATGTACGCCCAGAATGTAAAAGGGAGCAATATAGGCATACAACTACATCATACTGCTGCAGAATAAACTCAATATGAAAATCACATCAAGGTATGATATGACAGTTTGCAGGAACGATCGTACAGAACACAATTTAGAAGGAAGCATAATCAAAAATCATTCAGTGCATGGACTTTGCTTGGAGACTGTTGTATTAGTAATTAGATTTTTCTGAATTATTATTATTTTTTTTTCAGTATATCCATGATTGAATTCAAGCACTTCTAGATACACAAGCTTGTTGCGACTTTCACAGTATCACAGCATCTTATAATTCAATTCAAAGCAGGTATTGTGTTGCGGTTTCTCATAAAGCTGGCTGGTATGTTAATGAAAAATCACATCACACCACAGGTAAATCAGATTGCAAGTTGAAGTAAGTGATGACTTGTGAAAACTGCTAAAAACTTCATTTTTAATGTTATTTTTAGATCCAAGGAATATTCCAGCCAAAAAAAGGAAAAGTCTGCCATCATTTACCCATTTGTGACAAATATTTCGCTGGTAGTTTTGTTCCTATTATGGATATTAATAGCAATGTTTTCATCCACCTATTTTTATGTACAATTTGAAAATGCGCATAAAAATATGCCTGAATGAATGGCAAGATGCACATGTAACGGAGCCAGCTGGTAAGTACTGTGCAGGTAAAACCTCGCTCCTCTGACCTCTAAAGGTGCTCTAGCAACAGAGAGTAGAGGTCATGGTCTTTAGCCTCCTTGTTGGAGCAACCGACTCCCATGCGGAGGGTCGCCGGTTCAATACCAGCTCGGAGCGGGTTGGGTGAAACCCGATATACAGAAGGGAATTTCCTTCAGAAGGAAAAAAGACAGTGTGAACACAACACAACCGAGGAGGTAACGGGGGGTTGGACAATCAATCTCGGGTATGGTCCAGGCAATTGAACCAAATGAGAAAGCACCCCCAGTCTCTGCCAATGAATTAGGTGTGTTTGGTTAAGGAGACATTGAAAATGTGCAGAGCTGGTGGTCCTCCAGAAACACGGTTGAAAAACACTGGACTAAACCAACTGCTGGGTCATTTTTTTTTTTTAAATTAAGCCATTAGGACCATTTTTAACCCAATGTTTGAGTTTTTAAATGAATATTTTAGCCAATTTGGGTTTAAATAACCCGGCATTTCTTAAGAGAGCTGTTTCGCTCATTCTCAAATCCCTCAGCCAAAGTCTGTCATCACAGTGGTTCAGTATTATTATATTATTATCATTACCTCCAGTCATTTTCAATTTTGGACGAACTGTCTCTTTAAACCTGCAGTAGCGATTAGCTTAAACTGGAGCAAAACATCCAGCATGTATTCTTCACACTAAAGTTGAGGTAGACTTAACTTTTAAGTAGAAAGTAAGTCACAAGACCCAACAGTGCGTTGATTTCAGGTTTATGAGAGAATTAACTATTTATTCAGCAAGATTGGCTCTGCGAGGCACTTATGTTGCAACTCGCTATTGCTGGAAATGTATGATTCATTATTTTCTTTGAACTTACAAGGATCTTAGATATCTTATGATAAACTCTTTATAGCTCGTCCTTCATCAATTATTTATAAATGGCAGTCGGCTACGAGGGAAATAGAAAAAGAAAAAAAAAACATTCAAATTGTCTTTCCTATGAGTTAGAAACTGTCATTTAAAGTTCAAATTTGTGATTGATTAGTTGATTGACTGACTGACTGATTTATATTTTGATCGATCGGTTTGTTGGATGATTGATTGATTGATTGATTAATTAATTTATTGACTGACTGACCGACTGATTGACTACTAATTGGTTGGTTGGATGGTTGATTGATTGACTGATTGGTTTGTTGGTTGGTTGACTGATTGGTTGAAAAATTGGTTGATTGATTGATCGATTGGTTTGTTGGTTGGTTGACTAATTGGTTGATAAATTGGTTAATTGATTAACTGGTTGGTTGGTTTGTCGGTTGACTGATTGGTTGATTGACTGACTGATTGATTGGTTTGTTGGTTGACTGATTGGTTTGTTGGTTGACTAATTGGTATATTGATTGGTTGGCTGGTTGATTGTTAGTTGGCTGATTGACTGATTGATCAGTTTGTTGGTTGACTGATTGGTTTGTTTACTGATTAAATGTTTGGTGTGTTGGTTGGTTGATTTATTTATTGATTGATTGATTGATTGATTGACTGATTGACTAGTTGACTGATTGATTAATTTGTTGGTTGGTTGACTGATTGGTTTATTGATTGATTGTTTGATTGATTGTTTGATTGATTGATTGGTTGGTTGATTAGTTAGTTAATTGTTTGAGTGAATGATTGGTTGGTTGATTGGCTGATAGGTTTTTTGTTTGATTAATTGACTGATTGGTTGATCAATTGATTGGTTAATTGATAGATTTATGATTGGTTAATTAATAGGTTGATTAATAAATTGGTTTGTTGGTTGACTGATTGGTTGATTAAATAATTAATTGGTTGATTGATTGGTTTGTTGGTTGACTTACTGATTGATTTATTGACTGATTGATTAATTCATTGGTTGAATGAATGATAGGTTGGTTGATTGACTGGTTGATTTGATAGATAGATAGATAGATAGATAGATAGATAGATAGATAGATAGATAGATAGATAGATAGATAGATAGATAGATAGATAGATAGATAGATAGATAGATAGATAGATAGATAGTTACCAACATAGTTATTGATTATTATTATTATTATTATTATTATTACCTTTAGTCGTTTTCATTTTTTTGGGCTAACTGCCTCTTTAAATCTGCAGCAGAGTCATTTAATTAATCAACCAAACGACAATCACAGGATGCTCTGTTTTAAAAATCACAAACTAGAATACTTAAAGAAAAGATAAGGGAGCAAAAAAGCACAAGCATTGGATGGTTACTGGCCGACAACAGACAGATGAATGGACAGATATATTTGAGTGGTTCTGGTCAAGGAAGAGAGCACATGTGATGCATGGAGCCAATGAAAGGATCCTTAATGCTTTCTGTCAAGCACGATTCTAGTGCAACGGTATATGGGCTGCTTTGCTGGCAGAAAGCTGGGAGATTGAAAGAGAGTGCAAGGAACACGATCACAACGTCATGCAGTTCCCTGTGGTCAGCGCTCGATTGGTTCAGATTTCATCATGCAGCAGTACAAAGACCCAAAGCGTACTTCAGAGTTATGCAAAACCTATTTGGGAAAGAAGCTGAGAGCCAACACACTGTTTTTTTTTTTTTTTTTTTGATGGACTAGCCTGCACTATTGCCAGATTTAAACCCTGCGGAGCTCCTGTGGGATGTGCTTAAGCGTAAGGTCAGAGAAAACTGACCTACAAGCCAGTTCCACCTCTGGGAAGTGATACAGAAAGCGTGAATTGAAATCTTCCCTTAACGTACACTATGTGCATACAGTATACTGTGTATGGGTGAATCAAGAGATGCGGGAACATTTTTCAACTTCAAGATAGTTATATTAATTTTTTCTTTAACAATCAAACAATTGTTTCATGATAACTGACACTAAATGGAGGTAGAGACAGACAGATATAGGTATAGTGGGAGTTTTTTAAGATACACTTAAATACACCCCTGCTACAAAATCTAGCTTAAACCAGCCTAGGATGGTTGGCTGGCTTTAGCTGGTCGACCAGCCTGTTTTTAGAGGGGTTTTGGCCATTTCCAGGCTGGTTTCCAGCCATTTCCAGCCTGGTCAGACTGGAAAGTGACCAGCTAAAAACATCTAAAATCAGCTTGACCATCCTGGTTTAAGCTGGACATAGTTGGTTTTAGCTGGGCTCCCTGCCTGGCTAGGCTGGTCAAGCTGGTTTTAGCTGGTCATCTCCCAGCCTGTCCAGCTAAAACCAGGCTGGAAATGGCTCGAAACCAGCCTGGAAATGGCCAAAACCCCTCTAAAACCAGGCTGGTCGACCAGCTAACACCAGCCAACCATCCTAGGCTGGTTTAAGCTGGATTTTTCTGCAGGGACATATCCTGCACAACCATTTTTTTTTTTTTTTTTTAGAAAAATCTTGATATATTATGTTATTATTTAAAAATAAGTAAATTTTTCATCTTTTAAGTTAAGATAAACATCTATTTTCTGAATTATTTGTCATTTCAATTATAAAACATTTTTTTTTTCATGTCTCTACATTCTAGTTAGCTTAAATGGGTTATTAAAAAGGCATGACAA